TACAACTCAATCCTCAACAGCTTCTGAAGCAGCAACAGTAACCATCTTTGATGTCAATTCCACATCAATGCTATCCTCAACTGTGGTGTCAAATTCAGCAAGTTATATAGAAACAATTGATACAACAACCACAACTGCAGATCAATCCACAACAGCTGCTGGGACAACACGTTTTGATGCCACATCCACCTCAGCAGTATTTACAACTGTTGAGTCAACCCTTACAAGTAATAGAGAAACAATGACTTTAATACCTGATGCAGCTATAACATCTACAGCTCAATCTACAACAGATGCTGGGGCATCAACGGCAACAACTTTTGATGCCGTATACCCTTCATTGGCATCCTCAACTGTAGAGACAACTACATCTAGTAATGGAGTACCAAGGACTACACCAAATGAAAATGTAACCACAACTGCATCTGAAACTACACCAGCTGCTGGAGAAATAATGCCAACATATGATGCTACATCCATTACACCAATATCCAAAGCAGTAGAATCATCATCAACAACTATTGCAGACACAATGGCTACAGAACCTGATACAGAAACCACAACTACAGCTCATTCCTTAATATTTGCAGGAACAGGAACAACAACAACCACTTTTGATGCCACATCAACATCAATGTTATCCTCTACTGCGGTGTCAAATTCAACAAGTAATATTGAAACATCTGATACATCAACCACAACTGCAGACCAAACAACAACAGCTGCTGGGACAACAAGTTTTGATGCCACATCCAACTCACTAGTTTTCTCAACTGTTGGGTCAACCTCTACACATAGTGAAGAAAACTTTACTTTAGCACCTGATACATCAACCACAGCTGCAGCTCAAACCATAACAACTACTGGGGCAACAGCAAATATCTATGATGGCACATCCAGCTCATCTGTATCCTCAAATGTAAAATTGACCTCAACAACTGAGACAGACTCAGTACAATCTTCACCTGATACAGAAACAACCACAGCTCAATCCACAACAACTTCTGGGG